CTTTAGCACCTGTCCCTCTTGTTTGTGGGTCACCACTAGGTGCTCTTCAACCTGTCGTTCCGTGCCCCCCACCCCAGTATTTTCACAGTTTCCTCACTGGGTCTTGAGAGTGAGCCTGCATACAAGCCCTCCAAGAGTGGAACCTCCATTTTCTAGAGTACTTTGGGACCCCTGGGTGTCAGCCCCGTTGGATTTCCAAATGGGATATTCCAGGGACTCCTCTCTCTCTCATGCAGATCTCAAGGGCTGGGGTGCCTATGTGGGACACCAACCCCTTGCTCTTCTGGGAGAGGTGCCTGTCTGATGAGATCCTTCCCTGTTCTGTATCACCATGTCGAGGGTGGAGTATTTTTTTTTTTTTTCTCCCAGATGATGCCTCTGCCTCTCCTACTCATCTTGGTTTATTCCTTTTACCCTTTGTTGTGGAGAGAAGCCCATCTAGTCTTCAGATCTTTTTCAGAGGAAAATGATCCATACGTAGCTGTAGATTTGCTATGTCCATGGGAGGGAGTGAGTTTGGGATCTTCCTATGTCAGCACTTTTTTAAAAAGATTTTATTTATTTATTTGACAGAGAAGGGTGCCTGGGTGGCTCAGTGGGTTAAAGCCTCTGCCTTTTGCTCAGGTCATGATCTCAGGGTCCTGGGATCGAGCCCCATATCAGGCTCTCTGCTCAGCGGGGAGCCTGCTTCCCCACCCACGCCGCCTGCCTCTCTGCCTATTTGTGATCTCTGACTGTAAATAAGTAAATAAAATATTTTAAAAAAAGAAATCTATTTATTTATTTGACAGAGAGACAGTGAGAGAGGCAACACAAGCAGGGAGAGTGAGAGAGGGAGAAGCAGGCTTCCCACTAAGCAGGGAGGCTGATGTGGTGCTCAGACCCCAGGATCCTGGGATCATGACCTGAGCCACCCAGGCGCCCCAGCATTTTCCATGATAGACCTTTTTTTTTTTTTCTACATGAATAACCTTCTAGTGGTGATTCCATCTCCACTCCCAGCCCCCTACCTATCACAATGCGTGATAGACCCAAATTGCAAATATATTATTTTGGAATTCACATCTGTGTCATGACTGATATTAGCCTGTGATTTTTTTCCTTTCCTACACTATTAGTTGGGTTTGATATCACAGTAATAGTAACCTGTAGAATGCATCAATACTGCTCCTTCATATATAATAGAGAATAGTTTGAATAAGATGGGAACACTTAGTTCCTTGAGTGTTTGTAGAATTTGCTTATAAAATCATCTTGACCTGGTGAAGTTTGTTTGGGGGTAGATTTTTAACTATTGATACAATTTATTTATTTTACTATAGGCCTATTCATGATTTCTAACTCTTGGGTGAATTTAGGTAACATGTTTTATTATTTAGGAGTTTTTACTTTTGTCTGAGTTTTCAATTTTATTGGCATAAAGTTTAACATACTCTTCTATCTTCCTATTCCAGATCCTTTTTCATTCCTAGTATTAATATTTATATTCCTTCTTGGTCGTTAAGCAATTGCAGCAGAGTTTGATGTTTGTTTGCTTTTTTCGTTTTTTGGTTTTTTTTTTTTTTCCTTTCGATTCTGTTTCAGCTTTGGGGTTTGTCAAGCTTCTTTGTTTTCTATTTCACTGACTCTTTTTTCTTCATTCCATCATTTTGTTTTGTATTTTCCACATTCCATTCTTTATTTTAAACAAAAGAAAGAAAAACCAAAATCCTTGGCGGGGGGAATGTATTTCTCATGGCTCTAGAGGCTAGAAGTCTGAGGCCAAGGTGCCAAGCTGGGTTACAGTGAGAAAACTTCTAGGTAACATGAGCCCCCTGTTCCTGTATCCTCATGTGGTGGAGGCTCCTAAGGGAACTGGCTGGGCCCTTTTTGTAGGACCCTGATCCCATTCACAAGGGCTCCGTCTTTATGACCTAATTAGTTCCCAGAGGTTCCCCCTCCACACACCACTGGATTAGGAATTGGGGATTAAGTTTCAACATAGGAATTTGGGGATGACGGGGGGCACCAAAGTTCAGTCTGTTGCAATGACCTCATCTAAATCCATGACCTCTACTATCTGATAGTGTGGTTCATAGTTCTTAATCATGGTTTCTTAGTTTTACTGGTTCAAATTCTTCTTCTTTTTTTTTTTTATTAAGATTTTATTTATTTATTTGACTGAGAGATCACAAGTAGGCAGAGAGGTAGGCAGAGAGAAAGAGGAGGAAGCAGGCTCCCCACCAAGCAGAGAGCCCAATGCAGGGCTCAATCCCAGGACCCTGAGATCATGACCTGAGCCGGAGGCAGAGGCTTAACCCACTAAGCCACCCAGGCGCCCCTAATGGTTCAAATTCTTAAGGAAGAATGTGAAAGACTAAGTTCAGTCTTTGGACTCATTTTCCACTTGGGTTAGGTATACATTCTTGAATCGGTCAGCTGTGGACAGAAGGGTGGGGTCATGGGGTTTCAGCATGGTGGTCTAGCCCACAGAGAGACAGAACTTTCCCCAGAAAGGGAAGGCAATCAAGATACTATCTACTTTTCATTCGATCCTAAACTTGTCTCTGTTCTTTCTAGAGGGTCAAAGCACTGCAGGTATTCCTGACTGTTTTTGTCCCGCGGAGCTCAGCTTCAGGCCTGCGGGACCTTCACAGGCAAGCTCAGTCCTGCCCATTTCTGGACTCAATTTACACAGCGTTAACAACACCTCGAGTGCCCTATGTCTGTCAGCAAGCAGGATCTAAAATTTAGTCGGGGGCCATGAGCAGCAAGCATCTTGCTGTCTACCATGCTGGTTTCTCCCCCGACCTCCTTACTAGGTCTCCCCGCTCTCAGCCCCCAGTTGAGATATAAATGATATATATTAGTTTTAGGTGTACAACAGAATGATTTCAGGTTTGTATTTAGTGTGAAATGATCACCACAATAACCGTACTTAACATTCATCACCACAGTTAGGATTTTTTTTCTTGCAATGGGAACTTAAAAGATTTATTCTTAGGAATGTTCAAATATACAATAGAGGATTCTTAACTGTAGTCATCGTGTTGTACCTTACATCCCCAGAACTGACTTATTTTAACTGGAAGTTTGTATCTTTTCACAAACTACACCCATTCTGTCCACCTCCCCACCTCTGGCAACCACCAATCTATTCTCTGTCCCCGAGTTCATTGTCAACAGTTAAGATTCCACATTTAAGGCAGATTCTGTGGTGTTTTTCTTTCTCTCACTTATTTCACTTGGTTAGCTTAAGGACCTCAAAGTCCATCCGTCTTGTCACAGATAGCAAGATTTCTTCCTTTTTTATGACTGAATAGTATTCTATTGGACATATATGCCACATTTTCTTAATTTATTCTTCAGTGGACACTTAGGTTGATTCCATGTCTTGACTATTGCGAAGAATACTGCAGTGGGGACACCAGAATGGCTCAGTCAGTTAAGTGTCTGCTTTCAGCTCACGTCATGATCCCAGGGTCCTGGGATTGAGCCCTGTGTTGGGCTCCCTCCTCAGCGGGGAGCCTGCTTCTTCCTCTGCCTCTGCTGCTTCCCCTGCTTATAGTCTCTCTGTATAACTAACTAACTTAAAAAAAAAATGCTGCAGTGAACTTGGAGGGGTGTATGTATGTAGTGTTTTTGTTTCCTTTGGATAAATACCCAGAAGTGGACTTGCTGGATCATCTGGTAGTTCTCTTTATTTTGGGGATAACTTTCATGTTTGTCATAGTGGCTGTGCCAGTTTCCTTTCCCACCAACAGCACACTAGAGTTCCCTTTTCTCCTCTTTCTTGCCAACACTTGTTAGAATGGCTACTATCAAAAAGGAGGGGCACCTGGGTGGCTCAGTTGGTTAAGCATCTGCCTTCGGCTCAGGTCACGATCCTGGGGTCTCAGGATCGAGTCCCGCATCAGATTCCCTGCTCCCCAGGGAGTCTACTTCTCCTTCTGACCCTCTCCCCTCTCATGCTTGCACTCTCTCTCAAGTAAATATTTTTTTAAAAATTAAAAAGAAAAAGACAGCAGGTGCGAGATGATCACTCATTGCACTTCTATTTGCACTTTCTGGACGAGTGATGTTGAGAGAGTCTGATTGCAGAGTCCAATGTGGGGCTTGATCTCACAACCCTGAGATTGTAACCTGAGTCAAAATCAAGAGGCGGACGCCTAACTGACTGAGCCACCCAGGTGCCCCTAGTTTTGCATTTTTATGATCCATTTGGCTATGTCTTGTGGTTCTATACAATTTGCCAATTATATCTCAATCTTTTTTTTTTTTCCAAAGATATTTTTTTATCCACTTGAGAGAGAGAGAGAGAGAGGTCACAAGTAGGCAGAGAGGCAGGCAGAGAGAGAGGGGGAAGCAGGCTTCCTGCTGAGCAGAGAGCCCGAAGCAGGGCTTGATCCCAGGACCCTGGGATCACGACCCGAGCCGAAGGCAGTGGCTTTAACCCACTAAGCCACCCAGGTGCCCCAATTATATCTCAATCTTAAAAATGCCACTGGAATTTGGTAGGGATTACATTGAATATATTGTTTTGGGTGGTCTGTACATTTTAACACTATTCTTTCAAACATGAGCACTGAATTTTGCATTAATTCAATTTTCTTCAATGTGTTATTCACCATTTTTTTTTGAAGATTCGTTTTTTTCTATTATGCTCAGTTAGCCAACATATAATATACATCATTGGTCTTTGATGTAGAGGCTTTATTTTAGAAAGCATATGCAAGAGCATGGAGGGGAGGGGGAGGGGGAGAGGGAGAAAGGATCCAAGCAGACTGTGTGAAGTTCAGAACCAGTCACCGGGCTCAGTCTCACAAGCCTGAGATCATGACCTGACCTGGATCTACCAAGAGGCAGTTGCTTCAGCAACTGTGCCCCCCTATGTTGTTCACCTTAGTTGTGTTCTATGTATTTCCTTTGAAATTGTAAATGGGATTAATTTCTCAGATATTTCATTATTTTATAGAAATGCAAGAAATTTTTTATTTTGCACCCACCAACTTTACTGAACTTTTTTTTTTTTTTGGTGAAGTCTTTAGGGTTTTCCATATGTATATAACATCGTGTCATCTGTAAGTAGAGACCATTTTACTTCTTTTTTTTTTTTTTTTAAAGATTTTACTTATTTGACAGAGATCACAAGTAGGCAGAGAGGCAGGCAGAGAGAGGAAGAAGCAGGCTCCCTGCTGAGCAGAGAGCCTGATGCGGGGCTTGATCCCAGGACCCTGGGACCATGACCTGAGCCGAAGGCAGAGGCCTTAACCCACTGAGCCACCCAGGCACACCAACTTCTTCCTTTCTTATTGGAAGTTTTCATTTTTTCTCTGAGTGCTCTGGCTAGACTTCCAATACCGTGTTGAATAAAAGTGGTGAGTGTAGCATCTTTGGTTTTTATTTTAGGTTAGCTGTGGGCTTTTCTATACGTGGTCTTTATGTTTCTTCCATTACCCACTTTGTTTAGAGGTGTTATCATAAATAGATGGTGAATTTTATCCTATGTTTTTCTGCTCTACTGAGATGATTTTTGTCCTTCATTTGGTTAATGTAGTGTATCTGTATTGTTTTTCTAACTTAAGCTAGATCCTTAGCTCAGTAACTTACCAACCTTTTTTTTTTTTTTTCTAATATAAACCTCTAATGCCCTCAGTTTCTTTTCAAGTGTCATTTTCACTACATGTTAATTTTTGGAAAGTAGTACAGGTATTTTAATTGTTCACCTCTACTTACGTTTAAGTGCCCATTATGATTTCTTTATTTAGCCTGGAGTTATTTAGGAGCAATTTCTTTAATCTGTTAAGCTTACACAGAAATAGGTAACAAAAAATAACCGAAGACTAATAGCCTTGTGGTCTGAGAACATGGTTTATATGATACATATACTCTGAAACTTACTGGGACTTGCTTTATACACAAGTGTGTGGTCGAGTTTTATAAGACTGTTCACTGTGCTGTTTTTACATTTTTATTAACTTTTGGTTTAACTTATTCAGTGTGTTAAATCTTCCATCCAGATCGTAAAAATGACATTCTTTTTTCTCTGTAGTTCTAACAACTTTTGGCTTATGCATCTTTGAGACCATTAGGTAAGTACTTGTATTTTATGTACCTGGTAAATTTCCTTTACAAAACAGAGATAGTAATACAGTGTCTACCTTAGAAGGGTGGTGATAATGTAAACTAACACCAAATCACAAATCACTAAGAACACTGTTTAACATTAGTACATTGTAAGTACTACCTAAATGCTGGCTTAAAAAAAATCCTGATAGATTAGATGTGCCAATCCAAAACAGTGACTACTTATATTTCTTGTAGTATTGATATTTTAAAATTATTTAATATTATTTAAAATATTTTAAAATTTGTTCCTGCTTTATTTCTCCCTATTTATCCTGTTGTTTCTTTTCTCATTTACAACATTTTGATCAAGTTTTTTTACTCCCCTATCAGTTTAGAAGTTATATGCTTTTTTAAAACTTTAGTAGTTCTCCTTAATTTTAGAATTTTTCCTAATTTAACAGAGTCTAAAGTTACTATCTTAATTTCCATTTTGAAAGCATGTAAGACCCTTAACTTTATCTCTTGATTGACATGTTGTTATCCAGGATTTTAAGGCCTAGAAAATAATTTTTTTAAAGATTTTATTTATTTGACAGAGAGAGAGACAGACATCACAAGTAGGCAGAGAGGCAGGCAGGCAGAGAGAGGGGGAAGCAGGCTCCCCGGTGAGCAGAAAGCCCAATGCAGGGCTCAAATCCCAGGACCCTGAGATCATGACCTGAGCTGAAGGCAGAGGCTTAACTGACTGAGCCACCCAGGTGCCCCAAGTTTTTAGTTCATATAAACAATGAATGATTTAAGACTTATCTAAATACATTATTAATCTGTTTACTTTTCCTTCTTGCATTGCCTATCTTCCCTCATTTTTCTTTTTTCAAGTATACACTTTCAAACATTGCTACTCTTAAGTGTGGTCAACAGACCAGTAGCACCAACATTACTTCGCCTGAGAACTTTTTTTAAAAAAATAGGCTCTTAGGGACCTACTTTTAAGAAATACAGACTCCTGGGGCGCCTGAGGGGCTCAGTTAGTTAAGCCTCTGCCTTTGGCTCAGGTCATGATCCCAGGGTCCTGGGATTAAGCCCCTTAACGGGCTCTCTGCTTAGCAGGGAGTCTGCTTCTCTCTCTGCTTGCTGCTCCTCGTGCTTGTACTGTCTCACTCTTGTTCTATCTCAAATAAATAAAATCTTAAAAAAAAAAAAATACAGACTCCTGAGGTCCACTACAAATTCACTAGGTCAGAATAAGCATTTTAACCGGATCGCAGAATGATTTTTATGTGCATTACAGTAAGCTTTAGAAGCACTGTTCTAAAAATTTCATTAGGTTAGGTCTGTTGATAGGAAAAATCAGTGTTTATCTGAAAATGTCTATTTTAGCCTCAGTTTTGGTGATTAAGTTGACAGACTTATTTATTTCCCCACCCCCCTCAGCACTTAGTAGAAAATGTTGTAGTGACTTCTGGCTTCCATTTTTGGAAACTGAAAAGTTGTCATCTGTCTTGTGGCCATCTGTACCTGGTGAATTTTATTTTTTCCTTATGTTCCATGCCCAACATGGCTCTTGAACTCAAAACCCTGAGATGAAGGCACAAGTTCTACCAGCTGAGCCAGCTAGTTGCCCTTGCACCTCGCTCATTTTTTGTCATTCTGAATCTTATTCCCTTCAACATTTCATGCATGGTTATTTCATATTTTTTTGATAAGGCAATGCAGCATCTGCAGTCATTGGTAGCCTAAATCTGCTATTTATTTCTGCCATTCTCCTTTGGGGTTGTTTCCTTGTGTTTGGCGACTTTTATCAAAGTTCTCCAGAGAAAGAGAACCAATCGGATACACACGCACCCCTGCCCCTCCACCTCATGCACAGTCTACTCTGGTATATCCTCTCACAGTGAATGACACGGACAATCGCCTGAAGCAGAAATCAGAAAGTCCCTATGTTCTTCCTCCCCCAGCAGTCATCAGGGTAAACAGAGTCTCCACCTCAATCAACAGTCTACTCACTTCTCTGTTGTCCTATAATCTTTCCATGTCCAGATCAGGGAGACCTCTCCCCACGTCTAATGCCATTCTTCCATCTGACGTAGTACGTTTTGAATGATCTTCATAAAATGTAAGTGTAATCAGGTCACTCCTCCGGATTAAAACTTCTTCAGCTCTCTCTGCCTGCCTCTCTGCCTACTTGTGATTTCCGTCTGTCAAGTAAATAAATAAACTCTTAAAACAAAACAAAACAAACAAAAAAACCTTTTTCAGTTCCCCATTTCCTTGAGGAAAAAAGTTTAATGGCATGTCATGCTTTACCAAGCCCTTCAGTAGCCATCGTCTCTGTGCCCCTCCCCGCCAGCCACCCTCAACCTCATTTGGCTCCTCTAAAGTGGGGATGCGTCCTTTTCTGGGCCTTTACACACACTGTTAATCTCTGTCCACAACCAATTACCTCCAAGGTAAATCGTAATTCTTGCCTATGGGAAGCTGTTCATCCCCGCTCCACGGGCCAGTCACCACCCCTGTCCAGTCTCTAGAGCTGCTCCGATCAGCCTGGCAACTGTAAGAAACCAGGGTTGGCTTTATTCATTTTTTTAAAATTTTTTTTAGATTTTATTTATTTGACATGGAGAGAAATCGATCACAAGTAGGCGGAGAGGCAGGCAGAGAGAGAGGGGGAAGCAGGCTCCCTGCTAGCAGAGGGCCCGATGTGGGGTTCGATCCCAGGACCCTGGGATTATGACCTGAGCTGAAGGCAGAGGCTTAACCCACTGAGCCACCCAAGCGCCCCTATTCATCTCTTTTGTGAAGTTCATTCCTATGAGATGCAATCGAGAGAGAGGAAATTTTTTACTTCGGCAATGCTAGAATTTACAGGAGTCTTACAAAAATAGAAAAGGCGAATAGCACCAATAAAAAATAGCAGGAAATAGCCTTCAAATCAGGAAATAACTTTAAAAATATTTTGTTTTTATATGGAAAAAGAAAGTATGGGTAAGCACACAGCTACAGCACTACAAAATTATTTCCAAGACCAGTGAGTTAATACAATAGCAAATTCATGATGAAAATTATAATAAAATTAATCTGGTTCAGTAGTAACCAAAATAGAATATGTAATTTGGCTTATGTTAATTTTTTTTTAACAGATTTTATTTATTTGTCAGAGAGAGCACAAGCATGGGAAGTGGCAGGCAGAGGGAGAAGCAGGCTCCTGACTTGATCCCTGGACTCCAAGATCATGACCTGAGCCAAAGGCAGATGCTTAATGGACTGAGCCACCCAGGCATCCCTTCTGGCAACTTTTCAAGTAAGATTGCATTTAATAGCACTGTGTATACTTAATATAGTCAGATTCATTTCTTAAAGTTTATGAATTTGCTTCAGCTAGGATACTTCTTAGTGTTTGGTCTATTTTAATATGTCAATTATTTAACAAAGGATAAATTTAAAAGTTAAATTATTTAAAAATGAGTTCTCAGTAATAGCATTTTTAATGAAAAACATTCCTTTTGAGAAAATACATACCCTAACCCCCATACAAAATTTTAATAGGAAATCTGAGTCTCATTATGCATATGTGCACATGCGAATTTATACATGTGTACTTTCCAATAGCAGAAATATACTTATGCCGGATGCAAAATGTACACCAGGGAAATAAGAGCCCAGGATATATACATTTAAAGTGCAAACTCAATAAATTAGTTAAAATTTTATTACTCAGTAATGTGCGACCAGGTTACAAATTATGTGGCAGTGGTAGCAAAAGTGGCAGGAAGGAACTTCACACTCAACATGTCTAATAAATAAAGCTTGGTGATCCATTCAATATTATACAAAATCAAAACTTCTAACACTTCTAAAGATCTTTAATATCTTTGAGAAATGCCAAATATTCTAGGTAGGTAAGAAACTGCCTGACATTACACTTAAAAGAAATCATCTTAGAAAATTAATGGTTTTAGTATCTAAAAAGCCATAGATCCAAAATATGGTCTCCAAGAAAAAATAATTTAGTCTCCCATCCTGTTAGCATTTAGGCTATTCTTTAGATCATCCACAATCTTTCACGACTCAGGTACATATCTGTACCCAAGGAGTTCATGAACATTGTAAATACGGTCCATTTTCTTTGCAGTTAAGAATTCCTACCATTTTTTGTTAATTAGACTCACAGTTGGGTTAGCAGAACTCAGTAGTCCTAGGTCACTTCTGTCATGTAGTCTCAAGGCAGCAGGAAATGAACAAGGATGGGCATCAGTTTTACAGTGACTAAACACGTGACACCTAACATAGGATCCGGACAGAAGCACATAATCCAATTATTCGCTGTGGCTTTCGGAGCTCCTCCTCTTTCTTTGATTAGACTTGAATTTATCTAATAAGGAATAATGCTCAT